TACATATTTCAGAACTTGGAGAATAAAGCCTTATATAATAATAACTTGGTTATTAAGATATCTAACTCTTCTGTTTTTTTAACCTGTGGATTGGCTTTCTATCGATAGTATTACCAGCATGCCCGGCACCTGACATTAAGCAGAGCTTTTCCCGATAAATTCCATGTGGATCCCATATCACCACCAACGGTAAATATTTAATATATTTTGTATTTGTTCTGAAAGCAAAATTTCAGAGTTAGCCATATGTATAGGATAAGTAGACCGTTCGTGCCATTGGAAAAGCACCTCCAAATTAAAACTCTCTCTGCCTGAATGCTTGAAACAGCTGTGATAGATAGCCATTCTTCTGGGAGTTGTTCAAAAATAAACTGGGCTGCTTTAACAGAAAGCGAATTTGCTATCCCAGGAAGTGATTAAATATAGCATGACCACTTGGCAAGAGTAAAATAGGGTAAATTCAAGCACCACGGGGAGAATTGGACTAGATGAGCATTTATGTTCCATTCGGCAGTGCCTACCAGGGAGTCTTCTTCTAAAGTTCAACTAGACATTTATGTTCATGAGATTACCATAGATCACATTCGTCATTGGATTCACTTACAAGGGGAGAAGACATGAATACAGCTTAAAGGAGGGTAGCATCAGTCATTTCTCTTTAGCGGGATTAGTCCTTGCAGCAATCTACACAGCAGTCCAAGAACTAAATGTCTTGGGCCTCTCACCCACCAAGTGATAGCTGAGGTACAAGAGGGTAAGACTCATACCATTGGCTCTGAGATCCCCCTTAGCTTAGCAGCTGCATGCCCTACAGGTGCCAATATCTTATGTAAATCTCCACAAACAAGTTTCCATGCTCCTGGAAAGAAATATGCCTGATTATAAGAATCATCATATTGAGAGAGTCCCCAAAACTCTGGCTCCCCGTCAAGTATTTATAGATCCTTCAAGTTCAGATGTAATTTCTCAATTAGGGGTCACTTTTGCCATGAAGAATTTTGCCTGATAACACAACTTGTATTCTGCCCTAGAGAAGGTGAAAGGGTTTTCTTAATCCCTCAGTCTATAAATTCCAACTCCCATGTTTATGATTCTAGCATTCAGAGAGTTGATTGCTTAGCTTATTTAGAGCTGCTCACTTCACTTGATGATAATTCAGCTATATTCATCCATTTGTCTACTTATCTACTTATTTATCTACTTATCATATCTAATAAGTACTCAGCACCTTCTGAACCAGGTCCTAATGCAGGACTCAGCTCTTTTTTTTTTTTAAATATTGCTTACAGGTAATGCATTTGAACCTTAAAATGACTGTACATGTATGACATGACAACAATGTATAAAATAGTTGAAATACAAAGTGACAAATATCTAAAACACTTTCACACATTTATCTTCCCATTCAACCGTATGCTCTCCTAGAGGGCAGGGATATATTTTTCATCTTGTTTCTTTAGTGGTAATAGGGTGCCTGCTACATAGTTGGTGATCAGTATGTGTTTATCAAACAAGTTATCTTAAGTAGAAGAGCAATTTGATTAAAATCTAGTGATGTTTTCTCATTAACTGAAATAATAGCAACTGGTAGAATTTTAGGGTCAACAAACTGGCCTGGATTCCAGAATGCCTTCTGTTGGTGGCTTTCCATGGCATGTCCAGGCTGCCCACATCCTGCAACTTTGTGGAGAAAATGTCACAGAGACAGAGACTGACAATCTCAGCTATGTAACAGGGCAGTTGAGTTGAAAGGATCTGGAGTCATCACAGATCTGGTACAAATCTTTGATTTACCACTTGAGTGCTGTGTGACCTTGTACAAGTCATTTGGACCCTCAATTGTCTTCTGTAAGAACAAATTTATCAAAGTGTTGTTAAAAGGCTAAATGAGATAACATCTATATAGCACCTGGTACATTTCAGTGCTTAATAAAGGATAGCTATGTATTTAATGACTATTTCTTGAGTTTGGTGGTACCAAAATCAAAATGAATCAAAGTTTAATAGCATCCAAACAGACCACAAAAGGTATCTAACACTTTTTTTAGTGAATGGGCATGCATAGTGTTTACATCACTGAAATCCAAGAAATCATTATAACATTTGTGTCTTATTTTTGTCTTTGGCAGACGGAAGGATTTAAATATCCCAAGCCTTCCTCGGTGCCACCCTCTCCTTCAGGGTCTCAGGGCTCCAGTCCTCAGAGCAGTGATGTGGAAGATGAAACAGATGACGAGAGATAC